CGCCTCCCGGTGTTTCTTCCGCGACTCCACGACGCTGACGCCGCTGCCTGTTCCCGCTGCAGTTACTCTTGCTGACCCCTCCGGTGGTCCCGTCGTTGCCCGCAGTTCCACCTCCCTTCCCTGTCCGGCGGTTCCTTCGGGCACTCTCACAGGTCTGCATATCCCCTCGTTCTCCAGGAACCTAGTTGGTGTCGGCTGCCTCCAGGACCTTGGCGTCACCACTACGTTCCCTGGTCACGAGCGGTATGCTGTCTGTACCGAGGCCGCCACTGGTGCCCCCCTTACCACTTTCCCCCGGGACCCGGTGTCCGGCCTGTTCACACTTGACACCGCGCCGTCCCCGTCTGGGTCTTCCCCCCCGGTAGTTGCGTCCACCCAGGTTGCAGCCGCGTGCTCCTGTCGGTCCCTCACTCACCCGACTCTCCTTTGGCACCACCGCCTTGGTCACCCTGCACTCCCACGTCTGCGTCACATGTCCCAGCACGGTCTCGTCCTTGGTCTCCCCGGTTCGTTCCCCGAGTTTCCCTCCTCCCCCGCCCCACCGTGCACGCCTTGTGTCGAGGGCCGGCTCCGCCGTGCCCCTCACTCCTCCTCTTTTCCCCCTACCACCGCACCCCTGCAGACTCTGCACATGGACGTCTGGGGCCCAGCCCCGGTCCATGGGCCGCGTCGCGAGCGCTTCTTCCTAGTGCTTGTCGACGACTTCACGCGCTACACCACCGTCTTCCCCCTGGAGCGGAAGGCCGACGTGCCTGACGTTCTCATCCCCTGGCTTGTCTCTGCTCGTGTCCACCGCGGTCTCCCTGCCTTGCGCCTTCACTCCGACCGGGGTGGCGAGTTTGCCTCAGGTGTCCTTGGTCGCTTCTGTCGTGCGGAGGGCATCACCCAGACGTTTACCCTGCCGGACTCCCCGCAGCAGAATGGGGTCGCTGAGCGACGCATCGGTTTGGTCATGGAGGTGGCTCGCACCTCCATGATCCACGCCGGTGCACCCCATTTTCTGTGGCCGTTCGCCGTGCGCTACGCCGCTCACCAGCTTAACCTGTGGCCGCACCCCCAGCGGCCGCAGGTTTCGCCGACCCTTCTGTGGACCGGGTCCCCTGGTGACGCGTCTGCGTTCCGCGTCTGGGGCTGCCTTGCTCACGTTCGTGCCTCTGGCACGGACAAGCTCACTGCCCGCACCCTCCCCTGCGTCTTCCTCGGTTTCCCCCTTGACGCGTCCGACTGGCACTTCTACCACCCGCCGTCTCACCGCTTCTTTCACTCTCGCGACGTCACCTTTGACGAGTCCGTCTCCTTCTACCGCCGCTTTCCCCACCGTGGTCCCCCGGTTACTCCCCCCCTTTTCCTGGTTCCTCCCTCCCTGGTGGTCCCTGCCCCTCCCCCCCCCCGCCCCCCCGTCCGGCCCCCTCTGGTGTGTCTCACGTCACCCCCCTCCCGTCGGTCGTCCCGGTCGACGAGTCTTCTGACTCTGGTAGTCCTCCGGCGCAGTCCTCGCCGTCTGTCCCTCCCCCGGTGTCTCCTCCTCCACCGCCTCCGCAGCCGCCGTCGCCGCAGCTGCTGCCGCCGTCGTCTCCACCGCCGCCGCCGTTGCAGCCGTCGTCTCCGCCGCCGCCGCCGTCGCAGCCGTCGCTGCAGCCGCCGTCGCCGCCGCCGCTGTCGTCGCTGCCGCCGTTTGTGGACTCTGGGGGTGTCCCTTCTGGGGGTGCAGGTGTGGAGGGTTCGGGAGGTAGCCGTCGCGCAGCTTGTGGCCCTGGTGTTGGTGTTGTGTCACCGCAGCAGCAGTCCCCGCCTGTGTCCGCCCTCCGTCTGCTCGGCCTTCCGTCTCCTGACCCTGCGCCTGTTCCTCTCCGGCCGTCTCCCCCTCTTCCCGTCTACGGCCCCGTGTTCCCTCCGCCGGACTCGTCCCCGGCTCGTTTTCCCCCTCGTTCCCCACCCGTGTCCCCTCCTCTGTCTCCCGACCCGACGCCGCCCTCTCACGTCTGGTCTCGCCGCCCCTCCCGTGCTCGTCCTGTCTCCCCCGTCCCGCGCACTCACCCTATGTTGCTCCGCTCCCACGCGTCTCGTCCTCCCCTCCTCCCGTCTCCTCCTCCGTCCTCTCTTGTCGTTGCGTCTCCTCCTCTGTCTGACTACTTTCGTGCCGCTCGTCCTCTTGTTCCTCGGGTCCTTGCCTCTCTCGTTACCGACCCGTCTGTTCCAGTGTCGAGTCTTGACGCCCTTGTCGCTGCGGTCGCTGACTTCGCCTCTACCCGCCGCCTTGACTACGCTACCGCTCTGGTCTCCGACCCTGCCTGTCCTCCGTCTGTCGGGGGTGCTCCTGCCCTCGGCAGTGACGTCCTGGAGGACCGCCAGTTTGAGCTTGCTTTCCTGTCCGAGGCTGCTCCCCATCTCTGTTCCATGCTGCTAGTCCCTGAGGGTGACCCAGACGCTTTCGACATCCCGACCCCTCGTACTTACGCTGAGGCGGTTTCGGGACCCTGGGCCTCTCAGTGGATAGCTGCCATGGAGCAGGAGATGGCATCTTGGAGATCCACCGGCACCTTCGTCGACGCAGTTCCCCCACCTGGGGTGAACGTGGTCGATGGCCGCTGGCTCTTCAAGGTGAAGCGCCCTCCTGGAGAGCCGCCTGTGTTCAAGGCGCGCTACGTGGCTAGAGGCTTCAGTCAGCGCGAGGGGGTGGACTTCTTTCAGACTTTCGCTCCTACCCCGAAGATGACTACTCTTCGGGTGCTGCTACACGTAGCGGCTCAGCGTGACTACGAGCTTCACTCCCTCGACTTCTCCACTGCCTTTCTTCAGGGCAGCCTTCACGAGCAGGTCTACCTGCGTCGCCCTCAGGGCTTTACTGGTACCTTCCCCCCTGGTACCCAGTGGCTTCTGCGGCGGCCAGTCTACGGCCTGCGCCAGGCGCCTCGTGAGTGGCACGACACTTTGCGTGCTACCCTTGCTGACCTGCAGTTCTTTCCGTCCTCTGCAGACCCCTCGCTCTTCATTCGTGCTGGCTCGACTCCGTTCTACATCCTCGTCTACGTAGACGACCTGGTCTTTGCCACTGCTGACAGGGACGCACTGGCCTCCGTGAAGGCAGAGCTGCTGAAGAGACACACCTGCACTGACCTTGGAGAGCTGCGCCGTTACCTTGGCTTGCAGATCTCCAGGGACAGAGCCGCGCGCACCATCACCCTGACTCAGTCACACTTGGTGCGCCAGGTCCTTCAGAGGTTCGGCCTTCAGTTCTCCTCCGCACAGCCCACCCCTCTTCCTCTGGACCACAGACTCTCCGCTCCAGTTCCTGAGGAGTCGGTAGATCCCAGTGGTCCTTACGCTGAGCTAGTGGGTTGCCTCATGTACCTGATGACTTGCACTCGCCCAGATCTCGCATACCCTCTCAGCATCCTGGCTCGTTTCGTGGCCACAGGCAGGCACCGACCTCAGCACTGGTCTGCCGCTAAGAGGGTTTTGCGTTATCTTGCAAGTACATCGGGCATGGGGTTAGTGCTAGGCGGACGCAGGCCAGTGGTCCTTACTGGACACACAGACGCTTCTTGGGCAGACGACGCCGAGACGCTCAGGTCTTCCCAGGGCTACTGCTTTAGCCTTGGTTCAGGTGCTGTCTCGTGGAGAGCTACCCGCTCTTCGTCTGTTGCCCAGTCCAGCTGTGAGGCCGAGATCTACGCCGGTGCCATGGCGGCACAGGAGCTCCGCTGGCTGACCTTCTTGCTCACTGACTTAGGTGAGCGGCCTAGCTCTGCCCCGGTCCTGTACGCTGACAACAGGGCCATGATTCTCCTGTGTCAGGAGCCTCGACTCGAGGGCAGAGCGAAGCACATCCAGCTGCGGTACTTCCTCCTGCGTGAGCTACAGCAGCGTCGCCAGGCTCGCGTAGTACACTTAGCCCCCGGTGCCAACACAGCTGATATCTTTACGAAGGCGCTTGCGCCTAAAGATCATCAGCGGCACTGTGTGCAGCTTGGTCTGGTTCCTGTAGTCTCTCACTTACTCGGGCCTTGACTCTGTACTGTCCTATATATCTGTGTGTACACTCAGACTGGACTTGTGTCCTCTTACAGTGGTTGGACTAGTAGTGCCGCCCTGTACTAGTTCTTGCCTTGCCTGTACTCCTTCTGACTGGTCTTTTAGACCCTTGTCTCAGAGGCTGGACTAGTAGTGCCACCCTGAGCTGCTTGTCTAGAACATTCCCCTATGCAGTCCAGGGGGTGTGTCAAACATGTTTAGTTATCATGCTTGTATAGACTGTATAGGGTCATCTTCTAGAGAGTACAACAGTTAGATATATGTTTGTGTACTCTCTCTCTCTATTCATCAATTTCACTGTTTGATACTCAGGTGCCAACACATGTGATATCTTTACTAAGGCGCTTGCGCCTAAAGATCATCAGCGGCACTGTGTACCGCTTGGTCTTGTTCCTGTAGCTACTCACCTGTTAGGATCCTGATTGTGTACTCTCTATTATATATGCCTGTCAGACTGGCCTTGTGGCCTTACCTCCAGTGGCTGGACTAGTAGTGCCGCCCTGGCTTGCTTTAGTTTTGTTTGTATTCTTGCTGACTGGTCTCCAGACCTCTGCCTTAGTGGTTGGACTAGTAGTGCCACCCTGAGCTGTTTGCTTCTTGCTTAGCTTCACCCCTTGTCTAGCCTAAGGGGTGTGTCAACTTATACATATTAGCTATGTAGAAGTTATAGGCTAGACCGAGGTATGCTTCTAGTGAGTACAACCAACTAGTACTTGTTCTAGGTTTCCACTTCTAGTCAATCATTCAGTTCTTACTTTAACAAACATGAAGTAAGATTCGCAAGGTTGTTACGCAGGTTTCACTTCACCCCCATGGCCTAGATTTACAACAATATCTGGCCATAATTTTTTAGGTTTACTGCAGCGGTCATTCTGGGTCTTTATTTAGATTTTCTGTGCAAGGCATGTTTGTTCAAGGCAGGTTTTCATGTTTATTTAGATTTTCTGTGCAAGGCATGGAAATCAGAGAATGATCGCATCATTTTGCTCAGAAATGATGCATCCTTGCTGGAAAGTGCATTCTTACTAAAGGGGCACAGAAGGATGTTGCGAAAACAAGAGCTAAGCAAAGCTAACACCTGGCAGCCTCGGCGCCTGGGTAGGAACTAACAGATGATCCAATCTACAGAGTGAGGGTACAATAGGCAGTCATCTAACTGTACAGCTTGATGCGCATGGTCACGGGTGCACGGCAGATGGGGCAGTTGCTCATCTGACGGCTGCACTCCTCACAGGTCTGCAGAGGGAAAATGGGCACATTGGGGTGGGAGGAGTGGTGGGAAACGGGGTTGAAAGCTATGCAGACCAATACAATAATCGAGAAAGAATGCCAGACATTCACACGACAGCATGTGTTCGAGGAAGGCAACAAGAAGTAGAGAAAACGTGGCTCTTAGACAAGTCTTAGGAATATGATTGTGTAGTCCTCACCTGGTGGCACTAAAGTAGAAGGCAGTGTTGTTGGTCGACAAGAAGCACACCGTACGACCTCATGAGCTCACGTTCAGGGTGGATGGCTGAGCCTCACCTGGTGGCCGCACTGGAAGGCCGTGTTCTTGGGGTACAGGAGGCATACTGGACACTCCGACCCCCCTGCACCCGCACCACCAGAGGCAGGTGCAGCGTCAGCAGCAGCAGCAGTGCTGCCAGCACCATAGGTGTACGCAGAAGGGGTGCCCAAGGGGTCTCCGAAGGGGTTAGGAGCGGAGTCAGGGTTGAGGTGGGGGGGCATGGTGGCAGCAGCTAGGGAAGCAGCTCTAGCAGCTGCAGCGTCTGCTGCGCGCACGCGGGGGGGCGGCTCCTTGGGCACTGACGGAGGCATACGGCCCATGGTGCGGCTGGAGAGAGGGATGGGGGGGGGTGGTACAAGGAGGCAAATCAGTGGAAGACAGGGAAGCAGCTTTGGCGGCTTTTTCACCGATCCACAAGCTGGACAGAATGGAAGCTTAGAAACACGGAGCTTGCAAGAGAAGTGGAAGGAGTGCTGGTGGTGTGAAGAACAAATTGATTGTTTTGATTACAAAGAACGTGGTTCCATGGTGTAGTGGTCATCACGTTTGCTTTACACGCAAAAGGTCACGAGTTCAAACCTCGTTGGGACCATGATTTTGACAACCCCCCCCCTTCTTTTAGCCCGGCAACATAACCTTCTCTCGTAGGACAGCTGTCCAGCATTATCCTGACACTGGCAGGGCATCCCACATTTACTGGTAGCCCAACAGCTGTGCTGCACAGCACTGCAAGGGCAGCATCATGAGTGCTGAGCAGGCTGGCATGGTGGCAGCACCCAGCAGCCATTACTGGCAAGCAACCCCATTTCACCCTATGCATTCCACACAGGCCCTAAGATTGGTTTTCAGGCACGCTGATTCATCATCCTAGCCCCGCGGACATAGGCTGATTTGTCAGTCCCCCCCAGTGCAGAAAGGCTGATTCTGTCAGCCTTAGTACAATTTTTTTGTCTGAAAATTACAGCCTCGGTGAGAAATGTAACGCTGAAGCGAGAGTCTTGCATAAATGTTTACACACCTCTACATCGGTCTCTACCTCCTCCCCCCCATCCATCGGGCCGAAACGGGGGGGAGGGGGGAAGCGAAACGGAGGGAGGGGGGAATCCGAAACGGAGGGGAGGGGGGATCGAAACGGAGGGGAGGGGAAAAGCGAAACGGGTGGAGGGGGGATCGAACGGAAAGGAGGGGGGAATCGAAACGGAGGGGAGGGGAGAATCGAAATGGAGGGGAGAGGGGGATCGAAACGGAGGGGAGGGGGAGTTCGAACAGAGGGGAGGGGGGATCAAAACGGGGGGGGGGGGAGTTCGAAACGGAGGAGAGGGGGGAATCGAAATCGAGGGGAAGGAGGGGATGTAAGTGAGGGGAGGGGGCTTTCCGAAATTGGCCAATGAGTGCCCTCGCACACGCAGCCCACAGCACAATTCTCGGGAATTTTTTGTGAAGGGCCAATCAGCGCCCTCACACTACCCCCAGCACAAACTGGGAGCCGAATTTGGTGAAGGGTTGACGCGTTCCCTCACACAGCCTCCAGCACACACTGGCCGATGATTTTGGTAAAGGGCCAGTTCACCCTCACAGAGCGTCCAGCATGCAACGGGCACCGATTTTGGCTAAGGGCCAATCAGCGCCCTCATACGCCCTCAGGGCGTGATTGACGGGGGGTTGCGTGTCAATGTGTGGCAATTACAGGAGGGACCCCCGAAACACAGTATATTCGGTTTCAGACTCCCCCCCAGAAAACTCGCTGAAACCTCAGCCGACACCAGTCTGATTTTGTCAGCCTCACCTTTCACAGAAAGGCTTACAGTTCAGCGTGGGTACAAAAAAAAGGCTGAAAAAAGGCTGAATCAGGGTAAAAGGGCTGATATCTAGGGGCCTTCCACAGCCTCGCCCCAGAAGCTCCAGGTCGGTGCATGCCCGGTACGGCAGAGCAGGGCACAGAGAGGCCAAAGCGAGCGCCTACAACAGACAGCTTTGTTCACCTCACAGCCCCTTGGCCTCACAGCCCCTTGGCCTCACAGCCCCTTGGCCTCACAGCCCCCTGGCCTGACAGCACGCAGAATTGAGCCAACTCACCCCAGCAGCCCCATCTCGGTGCACGCGCGGTACTGCAGAGGCACCTCCATCAGCGCCGACAGCGCAAACAGTGCCGCCCGCTGCTCCGGTGCGCGCGATGATGCCATGACTCGCGTGAAGTTGACAAACTGGCGCACGTGCGGAGGGGGAGGTGGGGAGGGGGGGGCGGAAGGGGGTTGTGAGGGGGAAACAGCATGAGAAGGGAGACAAACGAAACGGTTCAGGTGGGACAGGAAGGCGGGGAACGAGCGAGGGAGGCCATGCTCAGAATGAGAGGAGCAAACATGAGAAACAGCATAAGGGTTGAACGGACTGGCAAGCAGCACAGGGCTGTGCAGAGAAATAAGTGCAAGGCAATGTGAGTACCAAGGGCACAGCAATATGCCAGCCCCACCTGCCCCACCCGCCCCACGAGCCCCACCTGTTGCGGAAGAGCATAGTCAAACTCCATCATGTGGCGCCCTCACACCATGCCCTCCATCACACCATGCCATGCCCATGCCACACCTTTCTGGCAGCACATGGCGCGCTGCCCCCACCTGGAAGTTGTCGAAGTTGCGCTGCGGCAGCGCGTCGTCAAACTCCTCCATCATGTCCCACGGCCCGTCGCCCACGCCTACCATCACGATCGACAGCGCGTAGTTGCTGCGCGGTGGGGGGAGAGGAGGAGGGGGGGGGGGGGAGATTGGATATTAAAGGGAAGGAGCAAACAGGTGCATTTGTTTAGAGTGGGATAAGCAGTGCCACCATCTCTGTTGTCGGAACAAGGCTGCTGAGAGTGGTAGGGGTAAGGGAAATTAGGGCCACGGGGAAAATAAGGGTGATGGGGGAAGTAATGGCGACAAAGGAAAAAGGGCGGGGGGGGGGGGGAAGGGGAGAGAGGGGATTTACAGCGAGGGGGGATAATACGGTGAGGGGGAACATTAGGGCGAGGGGGCATTAGGGCGTGAGGGCATTAGGGCGAGGGGGGGTTAAAGAGGGGCGAAATCAGGGTGAGCGGTGGGTGAGGGGGAATCAGGGCGAGGGGGAATAAAAGGGCGAGGGGGCATTAGGACGAGGGGGAATGTGAGGGCGAGGGGGGATGAGGGCGAGGGGGGATGAGGGCGAGGGGGGATGAGGGCGAGGGGGAATGTGAGGGCGAGGGGGAATGTGAGGGCGAGGGGGAATGAGGGCGAGGGGGGATGAGGGCGAGGGGAATCAGGGTAAGAAGGGGGGACCAGGGTAAGGGGGGATCAGGGTAAGGGGGGATCAGGGTAAGGGAGGATCAGGGTAAAATGGGATCACGGCGAATAGGAATAAGGGCGAAGGGGAATAAGGGCGAAGGGGAATAAGGGTGAGGGGACAGCGACACACAGAGAGGGGTGAAGAATTGAAGAGAACAAGACACACCTGGCAGCAGCAGAGACACACCTGGCAGCAGCAGAGACACACCTGGCAGCAGCAGAGACACACCTGGCAGCGACAATGGCATCAACGGTGTCTTGCTCCTGTTTGCTGAACACGCCTGGCGGTGTGTCCACACTGCGAGTGACCTGCGGGGCGGGGGAGGGCACGGGGGGAGAGGGAGAGCGGGGCAGGCAAGAGCGGGCAGTGAGAGGCGGGGCAGGAGGGCTGTGCTGGTGTCGCAAGCTGTCGTGCTGAAGACTCCTGGTGCAGTGCACACAGTGCGAGTGGGTGGTGGGAGAGAGGGAGGGAGAGCAGTGAAGGGAGAGAAGGTGGTGAGCAGAGGGAGACGAAGGCTCATGGATGAATGAAGTGGCCAGGCAGGCACACAACACAGCCATGGGCGCCATTGCTGCAGTGCTTGCTGCTGGAGTTGGGGTGAGCACCCACTGCATTTATCTACAATCAGCAATAACCGAATCAGCTACCATCAACTTGTAAGCAACCAAAGACCATCACTGCACGTCACTGCACGTCACAGCACGTCACCTCACATTGCCTGGTCATAAGCCATCAGCAGCATGCGGCACGCACTCACACTCTCACTGCAAACTGGCGCAACCCACTCACATCACATCACATCACATCACATCACACTCTACATGCAAAGCATCTCCTTGGCACTATGCCTTGATTCCTGGGTCACGGAGTTTGCCTTGACTTGCTTCTGATGGAGAATCAGGATGAGCATCTCGCCCATCACGATGGTGACACACAAAGAATTCATTGGCCGTCTCAGCACACCACCACACAGCACCACACAGCACCTGGCTATCGGAGATGATGAGCAGCATGTGTACTGCCCCCCACTCCTCGCTGCATGTCACCTCACACATCATCACATGCCACCACATGCCACCACATGCCACCACATGCCACCCCATACCACCCCCTTCTTCCACATGCCACCCCATGCCACCCCATGCCCCCCATGCCACCCCATGCCCCCCATCCCCCCGCACCTGGCCATCAGCGATGATGAGCAGCACGTGGTACTGCCCCCCGCTCTCCTCCACCGCCCGCACCGCCGCCTCTATCGCCGGGGCGAACGACGTGGGACCTGGCGGACAGGCGGGGGACAGACGAAGGACAGACGAGGGACTAGGGTCAGGCGAGGCAGGCAGATGGGCACATGCTACACAGTAGAGCGGAGCAGATCGGCAGTACCCTCACAGCTGCCTCTATTGCCGGGGCGAAGGACGCTGCGCCTGGGAGAGCGCAGGGGAAGAGGTGGGTGAGCAGCACAGAGAGCAAAAAGAGAATGGACACGCGCCCTCGCTGGAGCCTCCATTGCTGGGCAATGGTGCGGTGCCTGGCTGGGCAAGCACACACTTGGGGGGAGAATACGCATCCTTACTGCTGCTGCAGGGGAAGGAGAGGAGCGAAACAACAACAGAGGCAGGAAAAAACAGAGAGGCAGGAAAAAACAGAGAGGCAGGAAAAAACAGAGAGGCAGGAAAAAACAGAGAGGCAGGAAAAAACAGAGAGGCAGGAAAAAACAGAGAGGCAGGAAATTACGAGTGCACCTGTAAAAAAAAGAGCAGCACACCTGACATCAACAGCAGCACACCTGACATCAGCAGCAGCGCACCTGACATCAGCAGCAGCACACCTGACATCAACAGCAGCGCACCTGAGAGCTGGCGTACGAGCAGCGCACCTGAGAGCTGCACGTGCGGGGCGATGGCGCGGTAGCGCTGCAGCGCCTCCTCAAAGCCGTTGCACGGCCGCTGGCCCTCATTGAACGCAAACACCCCGCTGTCGTGCGTCGTCACTGTGGTGTGGACAGGGGGGAGGGGAGGAGGGAGGGGGCGAGACGGATAGGGGGAGTGTGTGCATGCAGCGGTGTTGAGGAGGCGCGGTCCCTCCCCCAAGGAGAAGACGGCGCTGCTGCGAGCGTGCCTCTGAGGGGAAGGGAGGGGGGAGAGAGAGTATGGTGGCAAGGGGGCAGGTGGCAGCAGGGCAGGTGGCAGCAGGGCAGGCGGCAGCAGGGCAGATGGCAGCAGGGCAGGTGACAGCAGGGCAGGTGACAGCAGGGCTGGCGGCAGCACGGCAGGTGGCAGCAAGGGCGGTTGCAGAGAGTGACGGACCATCGCCGAAGCCGTAGCAGGGGATGAGGTTGTCCTCGTCGAAGGCGGAGAGCGTCTGCCCGATGATGTCGATGGCCTGCTCGTATGGGTTCGCCACTCCTGGAGCTATGGCATGCAGGGAGCGGCCTCCAAAGCTCTGCTTGCCTGCAGGGCAGCGGGAAGAGAAGGGGGGGGGGGGCAGGGGTTGTGGCGAAGCGAAGAGGGAGCGTCCATGGCCTGCTCGTGCGCGTTCACTGCGCCCCGCGCTACGGCATGCAGGGACCGGCTTCCAAAGCTCTGCTTGCCTGATGATGCCGGGCGGTGGATGGCGCGGGGAAGGGACGAAATGCAGAGAGAGACCTGGTGCGACTGAGCAAGCAGGACGGAGGCAGCAGCAACGCAAGTCGTTTCTTTCCACAAGATCCAGAGCCACAATCGAGTGAGCGCAACCCAGCAGCACGACACGGAGCCTGGCAAACCCAACCCGTACTCCTTGCTCCTCGTGCAGCCCGCAGCCAGCCAGCCACTGTGAGCTGACTCTTGCAGCAGCAGCGCGCCCACTAAGAAGCGAACCCGCAGCGCACGCTTGGTCCACTCGGTGCTCTTGGTGACGACCACGGGCAGTATGGTGACCCATGACGTGACTCATACCACGACATGCAATGTAGGCAACGACTGACGAGGCAGCACCCAGCCTGCCAGGCAGGCACCCACCGGTCCACTCGTTGCTCTTGGTGAAGTCGACGGCCACTATGAGGTTGCTCGACTCCAGCCCCACCTCGCGCAGCTTCTCCTGCACCTGCCGCCGCCACCCACACGCACACACACACGCACGGAAGGAGGGAAGAGTCGTACAAGATTGAGAGGCAACGCGCAGTGGGTGGGACATCTTTCAGGTGCTCCACTCGCCCCCCTCCTCCTGCGGTAATCTGCACGTCGCGTTCCGGACAGCAAGTCCCACTGACTCCGCGGTCTGTCTGTCGCATGGGTTGGGGAGTGCAAGCGACGCCCAACTGACATTGCGCGCGCCTGCCCGCCGGGCAGCAACGAGTCCAGATACGGCCTGTCTCACGCACCACCTGTCCAGCTGATCGCAGTGTGTCTCAACGCGCGCGCCTGCCCAACGGAGCACAAACAACGTGTCCAGATACGACCTGCACGACGTGGCACCTGAGCGATGGAGCGGAAGGTGTCGGGGATGATGCCGTACTTGTGCTGCAGCGCGCGCGAGTACCCGAACGAGCTGCTGCGGCTCACTGACCCGCCGCCGCCGCCGATGCCCCCCTCGCTGCGCGCAGTCGCGGGGGGTTCGCTGTGGCGCTGGCACGCGGCGCCGGGGCTGGCGGGGCCGGAATACGCGGGGCTGGCGGGGCCGGAGTAGGAGGCGTAGCGGCTGTCGGGGCGGCGGTGGTCGTGGTGCTTACCGTGGCTGCTGGAGCCGTTGCCCATGCCACGGCGGACGGCGCTGCGCACGCCACGAGCACAGCAGGATGGGCATCACGCCATCGCCCATGGCGTATGTGCGTTGGGTGCGCGGGAGTTAGAAAGGCGGGGAAGGATGAAGCGGGAAATTGGAAAGTGAACGACGGGACACGCGGGCGAGAGGAGGGAGAGAGGGAGTGAGGGATGGAGGATGGGGAGAACGAGAGGACACGGCTGGGTAGGGACCCGGTAACAGGGGAGCAGGGCGAACGGCACCAAGAGACGGACCTTAAGTTGAGGTGCTTGAATGGCAAGCTGGATTCGACGAGACTAACGACTGCAACGTAACCCACTACTAAAAAGTGCTCCACTACTAATAGAGGACTCCTAGTTCGAAGATAGACTTTACGCCGCTAAAATGGCGCCGACAGAGAGAGTAGAGGCTTTACGCAACAACGACACGATGAATGGCGACAAGATAACACAGGTCGCGAGTGAAGCGCAAACTAATCGTGGAGGGTGGACAGCAACACACCAAGCGAAGAAGGTGGGGAGGAGAGGGGGGCGGGGAAGGGAGGTTAGTGGGTTGCTTCACTTCGCTTGCCCTTGTGTTGGTGCGCGCGACGCGGGATTTGGACAGGTGGCGTATGGAGGGGAAAATGCCGAGGGGAGGGGCCGAGGAGAGGTGCGAGGAAGGTGAGGAGCTGGAGTGAGGACGCCACTACGGACCCCCTAGAGGGTGCTCGCTTGACGATTGAGATCTTGAAGTCGATATATTTTGTAACATCGTTCAATGCTTCTCACGGAAAATGATGAGCACGCCTGTGGGGTTACCATGTGCAAAATTGCATACACTAACGAGTTCGCATCTAATGGTCCGGGCCAGCGCGGCTGACAAATCTGACTTGGCTTGTTACCCGAATCGCATGAGCTGAAGGCGACTCGGCAGGGTGGCAGATTTCTGTTTCGGGGGTTCAGATCAGAGATTCGAGTCACTAGTGCGCTGACGATTACTTTTAGTCCTCGTCACTTTTCGGGAATAAAATTTGGTTTTGTACGGTACTGAGAGTGGGGAAGCCAAGGAACTGAGGCGAAAAGACCATCCTCATGCTTAAAAAGCAAACCGTCGTCCTCATGCAAGCTTGGGGAGGGTTGACCATTGTCCTACATAAGCAGTACAATATATCAGGGAGAACTGCCTTGGATTCAGCAAAGAGGGGGGAAACGAAAATCAAGTACAGTATGGTTTCCAGCAACAGCACCGTCTGTTTCCTTTGCCTTGGCAACAGCACCCAAGAAATCATGGGTGGACGTTCTTGGTTTGACCCACTCAGGCGGCATGTCGACTGAGCGTTCTGGATCCTGCTGAGCTGCGTCTTGCTACTTGGTCGTGCTTGTACTCTCCGTCTTTTACGGTCGGGTTTCAGGGCATCTAGTTGCGGATCCAATAGTCGTTAGAGAGCACATGGCGGCGTGAATCAGATCATGCTTCCCCATGATGGACCCCTTCCCTCCCATCCACGCGGTCCAAGCGGACCAGGGCAGCAGCGCGCCGTACGGCGGCAGCAGCGCCGTCTCGCGATCGCGGCTGCACCGATCACACTCCTTTACGGGCGCCAACCCGCACATGCACTACCTGCCGCACAGACTAGAGCACCCGTTACTGTCACCCTCTGCCGCCAGCAATCCCCCGCTAGCCTTCGTCCTCTGCTCGGTTTCTCTCTTCCCAGTCGCCTCGCTCAAGGGTCGCCAGTCCCTGTTCGCGTGGCTGCTGCTCGCGTCCTCTCTCACGTGCCTCTTCTTCTTCTCCGGCTTTAATCGCCTTCACCTGCGCGTTCGCTCCGCCGCCTCCGCCTCCTCCCGCGCCACTCCCGCGCCGCTGCCTCCGCTCAGCCGCGAGGATTTTTGCGCATCCACGCCCGCCGGGCGGGGCACGTCGGGCGCAGACGCCCCGGAGTCGGTGCTTCTGCGGTGGTCGGGGGGGAGCGGCTCCGACGGGTCCGCTCGGCTGCGGGGGAATTCCGCTGGGGGCGCGGCAGTGGGCGGAGCGAGGGACATGGCTGGAGGAATTGGAGCGGGGGATGGGGAGAAAGCGGCGACGTGCTCCAAGTGCAGGTGAGGCGGGCACGGAAGGACGCACGACGAGGATGACACGAGAGTGCGCTTTTCACAGACGGAGAAAAATCAAGTACAGGTGCATCGTAGAGGAACAACAAAAAACACTTGCCAAGGCGGCATGTGCTCCACGTGATGCTGATCGTACCGCATCCACGTGTGTTGAAAGCCTCCGTCCTTTCGCCTCCCCCATCCATGCCTTCGCCCGCCCGCCACCCCGCCACCCCATCAGAACACTCCAGTCGGTCCTCGAAGCGGCCGTGAAGTCTGCTGCCGGCGCTACTGGTAGCGCAACGGTAGGCGGTGTAGGTGGCGAAAGCGACACGGCGGCGGCGAGCGAGGAGGACGTGGGGTCGGCGTCGCCCGCGGAGCTGCTGGCGCGCGCGGCGCGGCGGTCCGTGATCGTAGTGTCGTTCAGCGAGGCGTGGGCGCCCATGATGCGCTTCTTCCTGGAGCGGTTGAGAGCGGTGGAGGCGCAGGAGAGGAGGGCGCGCGAGGAGACGAGGCGGAGGGGGGAGGGGAGGGTTCAGGCTGGGGTTGAGAGGGAGGAGAGAGAGGGGGCGCGGAGAGCAGTGGAGGGTGAGGCGACGGGCAGAGGGCGAGACGACGGTGCAGGGGCGGGTGAGGACGCGAGCGGTGGTGCTGGCGAGCTGGGCGGGCTAGTGGCGCGGCTGGTGGTGGTGGCGTACGACGACGAGAGCTTTGCGACGTGCTGCGGCATGGGGCTCAACTGCTACATGGACTGGCAGGAGGACGCGGAGGAGAAAGACGACTTCAGCGGCGGGCAGAAACACTTCATGACGCGCGCTTATATACACCTGGTATGATGCGATCATGCACACCTGCATTGATTGGTATGATGCGATCATGCACACCTGCATTGATTGGTATGATGCGATCATGCACACCTGCATTGATTGGTATGATGCGATCATGCACACCTGCATTGATTGGTATGATGCGATCATGCACACCTGCATTGATTGGTATGAGATCATGTGCACTTGGTATGATGTGATTACGCGTAACCGGTATCGCGCATGCATGTATGGCGCAGCGTGCACAGTGGCTGAAGCAGAGCTGACGGTGACGATGTGATGTGTGCCCGTTGCCAACCGTCTAAGTCCCCCTCTCTTCCTTGCCTGCCGTGCACCCGCGTCGCTGCCCCCAGGTGTGGCGCAAGGTGCACGTGGTGCACAGCATGCTGCGCCTGGGCTACGACGTGCTCTTCACCGACACCGACATCCTCTGGCTGCACAACCCCCTGCCGCTGCTCTGGCGCCACCCGCACGACCTGCAGATGTCGGCTGACTGGTGGGCGCCCAATGCACGCTCCGTGGTGGCGAACGGGGGGTTCTACGCGGCGCGGGCCAACGGCCGCACGCTGCGGTTCTTCCAGGACTGGCTGGCGTGGCACAGGCGGTGAGCAGTGGGGGGGTGGGGTGAAGAGTAGAGATGCGAAAAGCCTTGTGTTTGGTATGTGTGTCTTTATCACAGTTTATTGCATGATGTGCATCACATGCACCACATGCACCATGTGCTTAACGTGCACCACGTGCATCATGTGCATCACATTCACCACATGCACCACATGCATCATGTGCACCACATGCATCATGTGCATCATGTACACCACGTGCATCATGCCCGTCCCGTGCATCGCATCACCCCCCCTGCGGCCCCTGCAGGTGCCCGCAGTTCCGCATACAGCAGGTGTTCAACTGGATTCGCCCCGAGGCCAACCCCTTCACGCGCGTGGCGTCGCCCCTGCTGCTGCGCTACCTGCCCACGGACCTCTTCGGGGGCTTCTGTGAGATGGGCCACTCGCTCTCCCGCCTGCTCACCGTGCACGCCAACTGCTGCCCGGGCCTCGGCAACAAGCTGCCTGTGCTCAAGCAGCTGGCTGCGGACTGGGATTTTTTTTCATCGCTGCCCGTGGCTGCCCGGGAGAGCATGGAGGAGAGAGGGTTTGAGTGGAGGGGGCGCAACTGCTCGAGCAACTGGAATAAGCTGCCCCGAGACACCCCCGTGGAATCGTCGTAGGAGACGCAGGTGGTTATTTAGGCCACTTAGTAACAGTGATTTGTAATGGTACGTTTAGATACGTACATGTGCAGTGCAGTGTAGGTGTAGAGGCTGATTGAGGCCATAGGACTTACCTGATGAAGGTTCCTTCGGCCACCATATAGCAGAGACCCCTTGGGCTAGGTCCTATCAGGCATGTAGTGAGAGCCTCATGGCTTTCCATTCCACAGTTTCCACTCGCATGCCGTAAACCCACCAATGCACCAAATTGAGGAGCACTCTCCTTGTGGCTCTTCCAAGCTTGCTTCACATTCCCGGAGAGCGTAAGCAACCTCAACTGTAAGTATTGTGCTCCTTAAGTACGGTACTTATGTCATTTGACCGTTCCATGCTGCACAATGCAACAGCTTGCTTGTTGGCATACGACCTGTAATGGACAGCGATTGACATTGGTCTGCCTGCACTGCCATGTTGCGGGTTTTACAGAATCTGAGAGTTCCCCAACTCCAATCCCACCAAAGGCAACCACCCGTATGGTATGGTATGGTACAGTACCATACAGCAAACAGCTTTTCCTGTACAACAGGAAACAGCATGACGGCTAGGCTAGCACACCATCCCTACTCGCACATGAGCCATGATTTGCCATGGCCGCGTGGGTAAGGTGCTTGCGAGGCACTCACTCCTCGTCACTCTCCTCCTCCTCCTCCGCCTCCTTCAGCCACTGTGCAGAGCACGGCCAGCACCGCGGGCAGTAGAGCGGGCAGCGGAGCGGGCAGAAGGGAAGGGAGAAAGTTGGCATATGCAGGACGAGGGACGGGGGAGAAGTAGTGTAAAAAAGGGTAGAAAGGGGGAAGGGTGACAGAGGAGAGAGAAAGGGTGACAGAGGAGAGAGAAAGGGTGACAGAGGAGAGAGAAAGGGTGACAGAGGAGAGAGAAAGGGTGACAGAGGAGAGAGAAACAAGGGGAGGGGCAGGGGAGCAAGGAAGGGAGCACCAGCAGCTAGATGTGGGAAGAGAGGAGAGTGTGGCCGTGCTGTGACGCATGAAGTGATCATCGTCGCATGGTGCCAGAGCAAGCAGCCCCACACACACACCGCAGACCCACACAAACAGAGCTGTGTCCAGTCCACACCACAGCAGGAATTTATCTAAACCGTTCATCCCACCTTGATGAACGCTGCGGATCGTTCGACGAACACCTTGTCCGCGGCGTCAGCGAACTGCTTCTCCTCGGCCCACGCCATGACGGCCTCCTCGCTCACTATGTCCTTGTCATACAGGGTCTCCAGCACCTGCCGGGAAGAGGGAAGGGGTGGGCCGGGGGTGTGCCACATGCGAAGAGCTGGCTGTCATCACACCACGCCACACCCACCTCCTCCTCGCCCACAATGTCTCCAGCACCTGGCATGCAGGTGAGCAGCACGGTCGTACAGCGTCTGTAACACCTGGCGGGGAGGAGAGGATGTTATCAGTCCACACCATGATGGCCTCCTCGCTCGCCACGTCCTTGTCTTTCCTCCAGCACCTGCCGGGGAGGAGCGGGTGAGTGGGGGCAGAGTGCATGTGAGTTGCGGCGGGTTGGTGGTTGGCCGATGCAAAGACCGCCGCCTCGCTCACCATGCCACATGCCCCGGTCATCCAGCAGCTCCAGCACCTGGCGGGGGCGAGGCGACATGGGGGGCGAGCGCTGTGAGGGAGTGCCTCCTCCACGCTTATTGCTTACTATGTGAGCGTCGGCGGTCGCAGAGTGCCTGCAGCAGGTGGCGGGGGGAATAGAATGAAACCGCGGGCAAGAACCAGCCTGCCCGCCCATGCATGGACTGCCTCCTCATGCACTCGTGCAAGGTGGAGGCGGAGGGTGCGAGTGATGAAACGAACTACTCACTCACTCACTCACGAACTCGTGCACCGTGCACCGTGCCACATCCACTCTCTCCCGAACCCCCACCACCTGACGGCTGGAGAGGCAATGGTACCGTGCACCCAAGGCAATGGTACCGTGCACCCAAGGCAATGGTACCGCGCACCCAAGGCAATGGTACCGCGCACCCAAGGCAATGGTACCGTGCACCCAAGCAATGGTACCGTGCACCCAAGGCAATGGTACCGTGCACCCAAGGCAATGGTACCGTGCACCCAAGGCAATGGTACCGTGCACCCAAGGCAATGGTACCGTGCACCCAAGGCAATGGTACCGCGCACCCAAGGCAATGGTACCTCGCACCCAAGGCAATGGAATCGCGCACCCAAGGCAATGGTATCGTGCACCCAAGGCAATGGTACCGTGCACCCAAGGCAATGGTACCGTGCACCCAAGGCAATGGTACCGTGCACCCAAGGCAATGGTACCGTGCACCCAAGGCAATGGTACCGTGCACCCAAGGCAATGGTACCGCGCACCCAAGGCAATGGTACCGTGCACCCAAGGCAATGGTACCGTGCACCCAAGGCAATGGTACCGTGCACCCAAGGCAATGGTACCGTGCACCCAAGGCAATGGTACCGCGCACCCAAGGCAATGGTACCGTGCACCCAAGGCAATGGTACCGCGCACCCAAGGCAATGGTATCGCGCACCCAAGGCCATGGTATCGCGCACCCAAGGCAATGGTACCGTGCACCCAAGGCAATGGTACCGTGCACCCAAGGCAATGGTACCGTGCACCCAAGGCAATGGTACCGCGCACCCAAGGCAATGGTACCGTGCACCCAAGGCAATGGTACCGTGCACCCAAGGCCATGGTACCGTGCACCCAAGGCAATGGTACCGTGCACCCAAGGCAATGGTACCGCGCACCCAAGGCAATGGTACCGTGCACCCAAGGCAATGGTACCGCGCACCCAAGGCAATGGTACCGTGCACCCAAGGCAATGGTACCGTGCACCCAAGGCAATGGTATCGCGCACCCAAGGCAATGGTACCGTGCACCCAAGGCAATGGTACCGTGCACCCAAGGCAATGGTATCGCGCACCCAAGGTAATGGTACCGTGCACCCAAGGCAATGGTACCGTGCACCCAAGGCAATGGTACCGTGCACCCAAGGCAATGGTACCGTGCACCCAAGGCAATGGTACCGTGCACCCAAGGCAATGGTACCGTGCACCCAAGGCAATGGTACCGTGCACCCAAGGCAATGGTACCGCGCACCCAAGGCAATGGTACCGTGCACCCAAGGCAATGGTACCGTGCACCCAAGGCAATGGTACCGTGCACCCAAGGCAATGGTACCGTGCACGAGTAAGTGGCGCACACAGCTCATGTGGTGCGCGCCTCGTCACAGCAGCCGAGACTGCATCGTTGAATGCAAAGTACCCACACCAAGAAGCAGCTCACACGGATGTCTACGAGAAGGCAGTCACGTTGACAAACGGGAGCAACTCACGTTGACAAAGACGGGGGCGAACTCGGGGCGAGTCTCGTTGCACACCTCCTCGAACGTCAGCAGCACCTCCACCTGCGGGGGTGGGGGGGGGAGGGAAGGCATGGCAGAACGTCCAGTTCACCTCATCGACAGTGCCACTCCAGCACTGAGTCCCCTTCTCCCCAATCATTCCCTGCTGCTAAACCCCAAAACCCCCCTGTCCCCACGCCCCTGCCTGTGCTTGTGTTGGAACCCCCTAGTCCCATGGCACTGGCCCACCTCATCGTCCGTGCCCTTGAGGAACCTTCTCAGCAGCGACGTCCAGCGGGTTACCACAGCGCGGGTGGAAGCAAGCAGTTCCTCTAATGGGGGCAAAAAGGGGAAGGAGGGGCAGGGAAGGCAGGTCAGTGGAAAGTGGCAAACTGGCGGCTCGCCTCGTGGGCTTGGCTTGTGTGTGGGTGGAACCGAGCCGGCTGAGCGAGTTGCAGGTGGGCAGGCAAACGCAGAGAGAAGGAAGGGCGGCAAGGGGAAGACGGGTGGAAAGGGATGGAAGGGTGAAAAGGGGTGGAAGGGTGAAAAGGGGTGGAAGGGTGAAAAGGGGTGGAAGGGTGAAAAGGGGTGGAAGGGTGAAAAGGGGTGGAAGGGTGAAAAGGGGTGGAAGGGTGAAAAGGGGTGGATGAGAGCGCCCCTTAGAGAGGACAGATAAGGCAAGAGGAGGAACATCACAGGGGCGAATGGGGGGCGGGGGTGGCTTGGGTTGGGCGGAAGGGAGTATGGAAAGCATAGGGAAGAATGGGAAGCAGAGGCGAATGTGCTAGGAGGCTGCTGTGAAAGCGAAGTGCAGCCGGAGAAGAGCTCACTGGTGTGAGAAGAGCTCACTGGTGTGAGAAGAGCTCACTGGTGTGAGAAGAGCTCACTGGTGTGAGAAGAGCTCACTGGTGGGCGCCCCTGGCGGCGTGTGCGAGGCGGCGAGGTTGAGCATGCCCGTGAACATGGCGCCCGCACAGTCTGCGAAGGAGCGGTTGTACGCCAGCCTGGAGGGGGGGGATGGGGGGGCAGGACGGTACGGGATAGGAGAGAAGGGCAACATGCGTGAGACGGGGACATGCGTGAGACGGGGACATGCGTGAGACGGGGACATGCGTGAGACGGAGACATGCGTGAGACGGGGACATGCGTGAGACGGAGACATGCGTGAGACGGAGACATGCGTGAGACGGAGACATGCGTGAGACCGGGACATGCCCGTGAATACAGCACCTGCACGGCCGGCAAGGAGAGGCAGACGGGGGGGTTTGATAAAGGGGAAGGAGAGATGCGTGCGGAGAGAATGACCAGCGCAAAACAAGCAAGGAAGCCAGACACGACTGGTGCTTGACTCGTTGACTCACTTGAGTGCGTTGACTCACTTGAGTGCGTTGACTCACTTGAGTGCGTTGACTCACTTGAGTGCGTTGACTTACTTGAGTGCGTTGACTCACTTGAGTGCGTTGACTCACTTGAGTGCGTTCACTTCCAGCACCACGTTGTCTTGAGCCACCCCCTCCGCCACGGCTCGCTTGAACATCTCCTCCACCTGCCATGCCAGGCCATGCCATGCCATGCCAGGCCATGTGATGCACAAATACATTATGCAAGATCGTCATAACCATTATAGCATAAGCAAATTTGCAAAGATGCCTTGTAATAGCCCAATGCTCATGCATACAGCACCACATCCCCCCATCCACAAGAGCCTACCACCAAACCGAAAACACATCCCTTCATCTTCCCCTGTCTCCCTCTTTCCCCTTCCCCTTCCATTCCCATTCACCTATCACTTTCTCGCACCGTTCTTCCTTCCTTTCCCCCACTCTCCTCCCGCG